ATTACAAGGAAAAAAATTGCAAAACACAGTAGCCAAATAATGTGAGAAACTGCAGAACTTAAAACTGCAATTTTAGGCACTCTTCAATTGACCCGACCAGGTAACCAGTTGAACCAGTCAGACTGCCAAAACCAAGAATCGATCACCAAACTGGTTCAATCATCGGTTCGCGTTTCAAAACCATGGAACAAACATCAAAAGGAAAATAACTATATTTTTTAGTTTTCGGTATACATTAATTGCTTTTATTTGTGTATCATAGTTTTATTTATTTATTTATTTGTGGTTTATATATCTGACTTTTCAATATACATATTGCTTTTATTAGTGTAACGCCCGGTTTTATTTATTTGTGGTTTCTATATCTGACTTTTTGGTATACATTGCTTTCATTGGTGTAATGCGGTTTTATTTAGTTATTTATTGTTTACATATCTGACTTTTCGATATATATTGTTTGTATTAGTGTAATGCAGTTGTATTTATTTATTTATGATAAAGATGTTTTTAAACTAATTTTTTATTTTAAAATTAATTTTTTTGATTTTTTTTATTTAGAGTTGTATAATAAAAAATAAATTTCTTTTATTTTTTAACTTACCTTATTTATATGTCAAACAATTAAAATTTATAATTTTTTATTTCTATCGAAAAAAGATTACTATTTATATCTTAACTTTGTTTAAATAATTTTAAAAATACACCCTTATGTTAATCTAATATATTCAAAAAAAAATTAATTTCTTCAAAGACTAATCACAACATTTAAATTTTAAAAGTAAATACTCATTTATTAATAAATATAAAAAGGGGCCAAAATAGCACAACATTGTCTCACTACCTCACCGACTACGAGCTGCCGCCATGTAATGTAAGCCTCACCGTTGACACCCAAATATTTCTCCTCCGTCTGTGTTTACAAAGCAAAATCTCAGAATCCCTCACTATTTCCACAGCTTCTGAGAATTTGTTGGAGTCATTTGGTAATCCTTTAGTTTAGCACTTGTTTCGCAGCTTAGCAATTGGTAATCAATATAAATTGATAAACAGAAGAGATTAAGAAGATCCTTCATGAAATTGCAGTGTGCTTTATACAATTTGGATAGCATTGAGGACAATTTTCCATAGAGAAATGAGCTTGCTCTAGAGAATCTTGATAGTTGAATATAATTTTTTTTTTTTTTGAGGATTTCCAATGTTGATTTAAATTGATACCTTAAAATGTAAGTTAATACTATAGAATCACTCTTTAAGATTTTGCTTTGTTTAGTCTTTTAAGCTAAACATCCTTTTCTCATAATAAACATAAGGATTTAAGACTAAACCCTTTTCTCAACATGAACACCAAAATTCTGGTAAGTGAATATAAGAAACTTTATATAAAAACATAATCACAAAATGGACATTGACTTGTTGAAATTTAAGTTTTAGTACGGTCAACAACTAGCCATTTGTATTTCATACTTGGTCATGATAGGTGTGGTCTCTTTATACCAATAAGAATTAGAATCTTCACTTGAGGAGAAACCCGAACCAGTTGCAGTTGCAGGAGGCTTGAGCAAATTCATTTCCATTGAGTACAGATAATGAAAGGGTTTAGGAGGTGGCATGATGTCCACTCCTCCTTCTAGCATTTTCACTACTGCACTCATTGGTGGCCTTGCCTCGGGTGAGTCTTGAACACACCATAATGCTACCATGGACATTCTCTCTGCTTTTCCTCTATCCTTTTCTTCAATCCCACAAGTCTTTATCATTTCAGCCAATTCACCTTTCTCATAATTTTCCCATACATGTTTAGGAAACCAATTAAGGCTTTCAGATGAACTTGTAATTGTGTTTCTTCTCCTCCCAACAATTTCAAACAACACCATTCCAAAACTGTACACATCACATTTGTAAGTTATGGGATGATTCTTCAACAAGAATTCTGGGGCAGAGTAACCAGGGGTTCCCCTGTACCCAGTGTTTGAAACATGAGTAAGATCCCTATTGCAGAACTTTGCGAGTCCAAAGTCAGCAACTTTAGGGAAAAAGTTAGCATCAAGGAGTACATTTGCAGGCTTTATATCATAGTGAATGATTCTTTGTTGACATTCTTCATGCAAATAAGCAATACCTTTGGCCGTCCCTGT